CCAGTTATAACATTTCTGAACCACATGGTTGGTTATAATCATAGCAACTATCCCATTACTTGTATTAATTTTCTGTAAGTCAACTTTTTGTCACTGTGACAAAAATTTTTAGCAAATCAACTTGGGGTAAGAAAGATTTATTTTGGATCACAGATTTAGAAGTTTCAGTCTAAGGTCAGCCAACTCCATTGTTTTGGGCCTGAGATAAGACAGAGCCTCATAAGTAGGAAGGATGTGACAGAGCAAAGCTACTCACCTCATGTGGTTGGGAAGGGAAGAGAGAAGGTGAGAAGGGGTAGAAGTTAGATATAGTCCCCAAGGGCACACCTGCAAGGACCAAATCACTTCAACTGGGTCCCACCTTCTGCTAACTCCCAATAACAATTCAGATTATGGATTCATCATTGGGTTAATCCATTCAGGAAGGTAGAGCCCTCGTGATCAGGACATCCCCCAAACACTTCTGGGCAACTGAATATGATGAAAGTTCATGATATTCATTGCTAAAGTTCATCATATTCATTGCTGACTTAATGAATATTGCTGACTTAAGTTTCAAACATTCAACACACAACCTTTTGGGGGACATTTCAGTTCCTAACTTTGACAGAATTTGTTAAGGTTTGCATATAGTGTCTCCCCAACAGTTTATGTGTTGGACAATGTGGAAATATTAAAAGTGAAATGATTAGATTAAGAGCTATAACCTCATCAGTGGGTTAATCTATTTGCTGGATTAATTGTGGGTGGGCATTGTAGGCAGGTGAAGCATGTCCGGAGGAAGGAGGTCCCTGAATGCAGCTGGTCCCTGGCTCCTTTCTTACTCTCTCTGCTTCCTGGCAGCCATAAGCTAAGCAGCTTTCCGCCACCACACCCTTTTTTATTCTATCTTACTTCAGGCCCAAAACAATGAAATCAGCCAATCATGGACTGAGCCTCTGAAACTTTGAGTCCAAAACAAGCTTTTCCTCTTTTAAGTTGTTCTTGTCAAGTGTTTTTGTCAGACTAATAGAATATTTTAAATATCAGACCCCTGGTCTCTTAATTCAACAACCTGACCAGCTCTGAGTCAAGTTCAAATATTTGCTCTGTTTCTTTAAGTTTTTTTTTTTTTATAAAACCTCTTAGTATGCTTTATAATCTTTTCTTGGTAGCCCAACGTGATATACTAAGTTAAAGAAATTGTTTTAAGAATTCCTTGATTATTGTGGTGCTGAGGAATGAGGGGAGTGTGTGTGAGAAAGTGCATAATATAAGCCTTTAATTAGGTTTTGTTCTTTTAGTGATGCTGTATCTCTGTATTGTAAATATCACACATGCTTCTGCATTCACCCCCTGCACTGTCTTAATCAGAACAGAATGGTTATAGAGAGCTGCATTTGGGTATTTCTCTTTGTTATCAGAAGCTAGGTTTCTCATCTCTTGGGTCTTTGTAAGAGAAAAGTTGCTCAAGCAAGACACAAGGCCTAGTACAAGTATGGCAAAATTTATTAGATGAGAAAGAAGAGAAAAAAGACACTCTCAAGGGAGAAAGTAAGTCATTTCACATAGGAAATCAACAGCTGCCTTCTTTGTGTCCTAGTGTTTATTTGAGTTAAAGGGCATTCAAGCATTGCTCCTACTTCTTGATTGACAGTTGGATTGTAGCAGACTTCTAAATGTCTATTGCACATGTCTTACTCATGAGGGTCTAAGCAAAATCTCTTGGGTGGAGGGTAAAAATGTATAACTACAATAAAATTAAATAATATGCCAAGGACTTTGTTGGTTATAATCATAGCAACTTTGTTCATCTTTGTGTTGACCGGTTTTATCTGCAACTTGTGTGTTTTTTTTTTTAATTTTTGTTGTTGTTGTTATTGTTGTAGTTGGACACAATACCTTTATTTTATTTATATATTTTCATGTGGTGCTGAGGATAGAACCCAACACCTCGTACGTGCTAGGTGAGTGCTCTTCTGCTGAGCCACAACCCCAATGAATATTTTTTAAAAAATAGATTTTGTGGTAGTCTGAGAAGAGGGCAATTTGTCTTCCTCTTATCAAAGGAGAAATCTTAGGTAGATATCTCTTAGTCCTGAGAATAACATGTTGTTTATTGTGGGCTATTATCTTAAATCACAAAAGGGCCAGGATGACCTTGTGTAAATTGTTTCTCTAAAAAATTGTTGAGTAGAAGCACATAGGCTCAATCTATAGAATTAACCCTGTAATCTCCATGTTCCCACTACTCAGGGCTCACCTGTTCCCACCACCTTCCTCAAGGTCAGTGAGACTCTGATAAAATCCTAACAAGTTATGCTATAGTTAAATAGTTTCTACTGAGGACAGATCTTTTTAAAAAAATAACGAAATACTCAGGTATATTTTTAAATGATTCCTTTTTCCTTATCCCTCTCAGAAAAAAAAATAGGAGTTTCCCTAGTATTCACTGTATAAAATAGGTTGAACTAATCTAGGTGTAATTCAAAAAGCATGAGGGCCTTCTGAGGACTGGGTCACCCTGTATTTTTTTCCTCCCAGACGTATTCACAGTGAACCTCCAGGGATTTTCTTATTATTTCAGACCTCCTACTCAGTCAATGGTTCAAATAAACATTAGTACTTGGGAATTTCCATTTCATTAACTTGGAATTACTGTACTTACCGGCTTCACTCTCTAATTTCAGGGACAGTGGTTTGCCCCATGACTTCTCTTATGGATCTAAAGATTCATTCATTTTTCAGTTTGTTCATCTCTTTATTGTTGATGGGATGGGGAGGAGACATCTAAGCTTCTCACATGGTGAACCAGAAGTTGGATACCCATTCTGGGATTTGGAGAGAGGTATCAAATTTATGACTTCTTTTAAAAATGGTGCTATGCCATGTGAATGGATGAAAATTTCCAGGGGGAAAATGACTTAGATACTTGTGGATGTGGCAAGAAGTACATAAATTTGAGGTGTTTTGTGTATACAGTGTCCACACTTTTTTTTGTGGCTCTATGTGGGGTGTCTGTTATAGAGAGGGGTTTTGAGTGTTTTTTTTTGTTTTTTCCTGTGCACGGTTTTTTAGCCTTTTTTGTGATGTGGCGGTGTAGAGATGTGCCTGTGAGGAGGGGGTTTTTTTCTTGATGTGGTGGGGGGGGAGGAGGGGAGGGGGTTGTCGCCGGTTTTTTGTTGTTGTTGTTGGAGGGGGGGATTGTTCCATTTTTTTTTTTTAAAAAAAACTTGGTAAAATAGTTAGAAAGTCATTACAAGGAAAGGAGGAGAAAGAAGAGAAGACTTGAAACAAACATCAGTGAGAATAAGGTGTAAAATTTATTAGGAAAGTGTAGAAGAAATTCTGGATATAAATAAGGGCTTGAGAGCTGTAAACAAAAAATTTAGGTGTTAGTTCAGCAAGGTTAGGCACTTTTCTCCAAGTATATTACACCTTCCAGGTGAGGTTAGAATCAGGAGAAATTTGTGTTTAACCAATTGTCTTTTGACATGCTCAATTGAGATAGGGCAGGGAGTTAAGGGTAAGAGTGATTTCTCTTTTGGAATGTAAAATCTGAGCCAAATAAAATGAAACTTGAGGCATTATTAGAAGGTAAAAAACAAAAAGAGTTTAGTTTAATTGATTGGACTGCATCATAATTGTAAGTGCAAGTACTAGGTGTATGTGAACTGGAAAGAAAGATGATAATTATAGAACTGAAGGCATAAAGTTGAGATTTTGGAAGGACTGACAATATTAGCGGTGAAAAGTTCTATGTAATGACCATGGAAATGATTGGTTGAGATGGAGTGGTAAATATTTATTATAAATAAAGATGTTCAAAAACTGAGAAGGGAGATACCTAGATGGATCTTCTACATGTATGCACATCCTAAAGGATAGTGCATAAAGCAAGTAACTTGGGAGAATAGCTGTTCAAAATATAGTAGATGGAATTGTCTTATGCTCTTCATTTCAAATAATAGATTTTGAATTGGAAAGAAAAAATGGTATGGAATTTTCCATAACACACATCTCACTTCCAAACCCTATATTGTGCAATGTGAAGGAAAAATCAGTTAATAGCAGAGAAGGCTGTTTGGGAAGCGATGACTATGAGTTCCAAAGCAAATCAGAAAGGGTGTAAGAGATGGAAGATGGTAAATATTGGCTTAAAACAGAATTTTGATGACAATGTATGATCTAGAAGGGCTGAGCTATTGTTGGCTAATGAAGTAAAGAAGGAAATATGTTTTGTGATGGCTGTTTCCTTAACAGAAATTGTTATTAATTATAAGTACTAAATTTAGTACAATTTCAGGGACAATTCTAAGCATTTTATGTATACATGTCAGTACATTCAATCCTTCCAATTCCTATCATTATCCACATTGTACAATAAAGAAACACAGATGTTAAATAAGTTATCCAAGGTTGCTAGTGAGCAGATGAGCTGAATCTGAGCAATCTAACTATAGAGAACACAATCTTAATCAATATGAAGTGTTTCCTTATAATTGATCTCTTGGGTGTTTACTGATATTGAATTTGATGAGATGTCAAAAGATAGTGGGACACAGGTTGTGAAAAGTAAGGGTTTTATGAGAAAATACCAGCTATCTGTAGCTGCTCTTAAATCATACTGTGTGAGTGGATTAAACCAAGGAGAAAGATAATCTCATCAAAAGAACTGGATTTCTAAAGAATGTATAACAACTTAAGCCCTGATTTCACCTTTCAGAGATGACAATGATGAGGCTACAATTCTATAAGAAGAGGTCTTCCTAGACAGACCTCGGTAAGAGAGACTCTGAAATTCACTATTCATGATGAAATGTAAAGGCTATGCAAGAGGAATTTTTGAAGTATAGCTTTTGGCTCAAATATACCCCCCAAAAGAGAAAAAAATATTAGTCACATAGATAACTCCGTAAACTGAAAAATAAAGGTGTCATGTCCTGGGTCAAAATGTGAAAATTGGGAAAAAGTCCATAAAAACTAACTCTTCCAATGGAAGTAATCTGCAGAGAAGCATATAATTTTGATGGCTTATTGTCTTTTTATTAGCTATCAAATTCATTGCACAGACAAAATTTCACTTGAAAACCATTCACTACAGCAGGCAAAATTAACAACAGGCCACTTATCAGTCTTTCTGATGGGCCTACAACAACTATCCTTATATATGAGATACATGAGTGAGTCTTGAAAAAAGAAAGTATTCCTCTCAATTTGATAAAATACTCAGTCAAATAACAGAATATGTGCCATTACTTTGTTTTGTATTAATGATAATATAGGCTAGACTTTGCTGTCCTACTTTGTTAGAATTTCTCATAATTTCACATAAAATGTCAAACATTTTGACTGTTTAAACAACCCATAATGTGTTTTGCAAAACTACAAAACACGCTATATGTAACGTGATAGCTGTTTATTCCAATTATACATAACACATCATGCTCAAGATGTAGATTTATTTGAAAACTTTTAGTCCAATTTATATGTATGCAGAAAAATCACACCCAATACACCACAATTGTGGAAGAGTCAAAATTAGCATATTTTGTCACATTTTCACACATATATAATTAGTATTCAAACAAGGATGATAAATCACAATCAAATGTAAAGAAAATGAATATCTCCTCAGTAGTAGTAAGAACCCCTTTTAAGTATGTAGGGTCTTCTTGGTTTATTCTCATACAGTTGCCTTTTCAGGATGTAAGGAATTTTTCTCTTTATGACTTCTTCCTTCTCATTTTTTTCATTTCCATTATCAAGAATGTCTTCCTGAATTATCTGAAAAATAGGACATAAATGAAACTTATATGCACAAAATCTCTATTTTGGAGCATTTTTGTATATTTTATCCTATTTTCTGTCTGGAGCAAAACATGTAACATCAAAGTAATGGTTTTATTAAAGGATATATGACTGTCAAATGCTCGAGATGGGACCTAACCTGATCTTTCTGATTCTCTGTTCAGTGTCCTTCCTAGTTTATTGGGCTGTAAACACAGGAGATCTCTGTAAAAATCTCTGTACATTTAGAGGTCTAACACTAATCTCTCCAGAGAAGAGAACACACCAAATACACACTTGAATTCTTTTCATGCTTGAATTTACGATGAGGAGACCAAAATTGTATGAAACACATCATTTGTCACAACAAAAATAGTTTTGAATCTGGTAAATCAACTTTAACTGAAAAATTAACAGGATTTTGTATTCAATTAAGTCAATTTCCAAGGTGACTTGAAGGCCATTCTAAAATTTATTTCTTAGTCATACAAGAATGCCTGCTCTGCCTTAGTTGTTATATACATCAGCATTTAGGAAAGCTCTGTTTAACTCACTAAGATCTCTTTAGTTATGGTTATTTTCTAAACTTCGAGGTCACTATAACTAATACTGACATTTAAATTATAATGAACATGCATAACATCATATCCTCATGTATTTTATTTCAACCCACAGCTATTCAGTTTCAGAGAAGGAAAACCAGCTACTGTCAGACAATCTAGTTCCTTAATCTTTGGTTTCTCTGTGCATAGTCTGTAATTACTTGTACTATACTCAGAATGACATTATAATTTTATTTTTAAATCACTCAAACATTTAAAATAGCAAAAGTTCCAATCTTATGTGCACTGACTTGTCTGCATAATAGTTTATTCAGGGTTTTTTTTTCTGGATAAATAACATATAATTGACATTTCCCCATGTTTAGATTTGTATTTTCAAGTTTTATTGACCTAAACAATATTTTGAAGAATAAACTATTTAGCCAGAATTAAAATTAAAGAATGAATATTACAGCAAGTAAAATTAAAACTAATCTTTTTGGCTTTTCATCTGGAAAGCATCTTTTAGTTTACTGGTTAGAATAAACACTAGCTATTCTGCTTGTATTTGCCTTTCCTGCAGGCATCTCCATGGCACACAGTCACAAGTTAGTTATAAAAGCAAGGAAGGTAGCCTCAGATCTTCGGTGTTTGTGTAAACTCAGTACATAAAACATTAAGCAAATTTTTCACGGAGGTTAATCTGAAAAAAATGTTTCTCCTGTTGAGAAAATTGTTAAATATTCCTTTTTTAAAAGCATATATTTATCTCTTCTCTTCTTTAACCTCAATATTTTTTTCATGTTTCCAAAACTCTAATTTATCTTTTACAGCAACTTATATCAATTAAGTCAAAAAATCATAAAGTGTTTTGCAATACATTATCTTTTAAAAAATTTGTTGTTGTAGATGGATACAATACCTTTATTTTATTTATTTATCTTTATGTGGTGCTGAGGATCAAACCCAGGGCCTCATATGTGCTAGGTAAGCACTCTACCACTGAGCTACAACCCGAGCTCCAAAACATTATCTTTAATAATTGTCAAACTATTAAATTTTACAAATAATTTTTCCTTTAATGCTCTCATGTTTGCTTATTTATTCAGTAGGAGAGAAGGGGTGGAACTAGAATTAATATGTAGGGAACTGAAGATAATTGTGGTTATATCTAAGTGATGGTAGCTTAAATGTTGGCATTTAAGTTGCCTGTCCAAAGGAAAAAAAATTGTTGAAATTGTTTCAGAATTTTTAATTGGAAGCTACACTGAAATGTGGATGAACATAACTTTGATGAATGTAGAATGTTTTGACTAGTTTTATTACTCTGTTTCTTCACTGATTTAATGTTATACATTTAGATTATGCAAACCCAAGAAAGAAGTTTAAGTTACTTTCAAACTATCTTCTGGTTCTAAATGGTTAGCTCTGGACATTAACTAAATACAAGTCAAATTTCATTATTAAAGCACTTTTAAAATTTTGCAAACAAATTAATATTTGTAAACCAAAGTCAGGAAGTCACCAGTCTAGTCCTTTGTTTTAAATATGTATTATGGCAATTGGCTATTTTGTGTGTGATAGACCAAATTCAGCTGCTCAGAATACCTGAAATCCACCACTCAATTATAATAGGAAGATAGATACACATACAAAGTCACATGTGTTTATCTATAAATAAGCACAGACCATAATGGTTCTTAAAACCAGAATGATGCAGATATAGATTCCTATTTTATATATATTTTTATAAACTAAACAAATTTATTTACCTAACATATTCAAATACAAAAGCTCCCCAAACCCCTTATGAACAGACAAACCTGGGAGTTCTAAATAAAACTGGAATAAAAGAGATACAGATCCTGATTTTATACTTTTACTTATGCAAATATATTTTTATTTGACTAATATATTCAAAAGGAACATTTTGTGTCTTTATTCCCATTTTATTTGAACACTTTTTGTCTTCAGTGTTTGTTTATAGATAAATACACATACATGTGTTTTTAAGAAAACATTCTGAGTTTCTTAAATTTCTTAGACATGCCACTAGTACCACCACCAACAAAGATTGCCTAAGTATGCCTTCCATTTATGCACAGTAAAAGCATATGGATCAAATCTGCCTAAAGATATATCCTTCTTTTTAAGATTGAAGAAAAAGTGTTTTTGCTAAACTCCAAATATTTGAAGGACACTTTGAAGATCTGAAGCAATGTTGACCTCAACACATGGTTTATTCTTCTTTAACATTTGTAAGTCTTCTGGTTATGATCTGGCCAGGATATAAAAATCAATACAAATGAAAGCTAACTAGTATAAATATAATTATACTCATATTTTGTTTTCATTTTACCTCCCAGTGTTGAAAGGCTCGGCTGTGACAGATTTTTTGGAGCTGGTAGATTGTCAGCATTGCTTCCAGGCTAAAGCCATCTAGAACAACAGGAAGTTTCCTTCTTGTAACAAGTTCTTCCTCATGAACCTCTCCTGTTTCCTCAGTTTGGCCGTTGAAGTTATTTATAAAACTGCAGACATTTAGCAGGGTCATTTTCCATGAAGGAACACTTGCTTTACTGATCTGAAATATAGAAAAAAGAAAAGATATTGCAATCAAACTTATACAAATAAATACATGAACTTCTGTTGTGTTACACAATTATACTTTAGAGTCTAATAGTTACTCTATTACTAAATATAGTACTATCAATTGAGTACCTTCATGTCACAAAGTTGCATGGTGCCAGTACCTCATATTACCTATGTAATAGAATGGGATGAAGTTATACACACATACAGATGCAGTTACACACAGAGCAAATTAAGAAAGAAAATAACAGTAGAAATCTATAAATATGTGTGTATATAATCAGATGAAAAAATTCAAAATTAAAAAATCATATTCTCTGTTATATTTCAGCTTAATGTGAAAGGAAGCATGGAATAAATTTTTATTAATAAATTTTGACAATCACAATAATGTGAGGTCATTGAATATTTCACACATTAATAGTTGTCATGGCCAGTACCACAACTGACCAAGTTATTTGCAAATTTTAATATTTTCTGAAATTGTCTTTTTTTTCTAATAATATTTTGTCTGAAACTATAATTAATATAATCAGCTATTCTTCAATGTCAAGAGTAACCAATAAGGAAACATGTAAAGAAATAGGAGAACCTATTACAAATTAATTAAAAATTAGCAAAAATTTGTAAGAGCACAGATAAAGGAAAGTGTAAACTTTTCCTGAAGGACTTATAAAAGCTACAGAGTTAAATTATGACAAAGACATGATGGACAGGCTTGATAACAATATAAGGTAACCATTTTCTCTGAATTACTATTGAAATATAATGCAATTTGCAGATCAATGTCTCAACTGGAAAAAATGTGGGGAGACTAGAAGTTGTATGAGGCAAAAGAAGGTAAATTCAAAGGATGACTGTGTCAAGAATAACCATGAAGATTTAGAAAAATTAAATAGTAATAGAAGATTTAGAAAAATTAAATAGTAATAAGGAAAGTCTTACCATGCCCATTATTAAAATGCATTTTAAAGCTGAGTAATCAATGGGATAGATTAAGAGAATAGCAATAAACATGAAACCTACTAGAAGAGAAGGCAGTGTTGAAAAACTGAATTGGGTACAAATGAGTAAGTAACATACAACAAAAGTAGCAGTTCAAATACTTTTAAACAGTTAGCTATGGGGAAATCTGGATGTAGATCTAGTTATAACCTTTCTTGATATATTATAGCCAAATGATAAATATCACTTTTGATTAAATATGAAGAAAAACAAATTACCATGAAAACACATAAATGAATTTGCTTTTATAAATCTGGAAAGATGTCAGTAAGCAAGTATCTATTACTAAGCAGAATACACAAAGTAAAAAGTCACCAAGCCCCTGTCCCACTGAGGAAGCACAGCAGGAAGAAGCATCTTGACCAAAGGACAACCAAGGGACATATATTTGGAAACATATTTGTAGAAGCTTTGAACTACAAAGGGCTAACTTTCTAATATTGCTCATGATGTTTCTCAAATTTCTTTCCTGTATTAAATGTGACCTAAGTGGTATGATGAACTGTCACTACCTGTTATTCACTGAACTCAGATGAACCGAGCAGATGGATAAATTGAAAGACTTCACCAAATTGAAAATAATCAAAGTCATCTGTCTGTCATGGAGTTTCGAAGTTTTTACACTTGAATATGAAATATGAGTTTATTAACAAATCCTACATTCCAATTGTTAATTCATAAGCATCTTTTGAACACCTTGTATATGAAAGGTATTAAGTTTGATCACAGTAAATTACAATATTCAATTAGCTTTTTGATAGTCTAAAGATATACTATATCATGTTCTCTTTCTTAACAAGACTATATCAAAACACTAGCATTGATAATAAAGACAACTGTTTATGAGAAGAAGAAAATTCTTCTCTACATTCCATTTCTTTTCCATTAGAATCTCTCTTCACTTTCTGTTGCCTAGGTGTATTTCAGCAATAATATTCCAATATCTAAACAACTTTACTATAAAATTGATAATGCTCACTTATCTTACCTATGAAGTACAAAAAAAAGAAAAACTAAAGCTTTCTAGAGAATTTAATAATAGAGTTGTATTCATACCAACATCAAATACTATTCTTATCCAATGTTTAAATGTAGCAATTTGTTTAAAATGGTTGTAAATCTAGAGTTCTCACTTGCATAGTGCTATAAACACAGCATAAATGATTGAATAACCTTTCTTATAAATAAATGATAAAATAATTTTATAAAAGTAAGAAATAAGCAATGAAATTGGAACAATTAAAATTCTGTGACCTACTTGTCTTAGATTCTATCTCTTGATTAAAAAGAGGCATTGAAGTTCAACTTTTTTCTACTTAATGAATTTAAGAGAGAAATGGGAAAAAATTATTCATCCTATATGTTTACAGTGCATTTCTCTTAAGAGAAAAAACTAAATCAGTCCATATACCAGGATTAGTTTATCTTTATAATATCTTGGTCAGAAAAATAATCACAACTCTACTCTCACATAGGTTAAATAGCTCCCACTCCCCAAACTATTTCATGTTTGGGAGGATTATTTAGGAGCTTTCTGTGCTAATGTAGACTTGAAATTTGAGAAATAAAATCTATAATATTTCACCAGGCATTGAAATCTAATCTATTTTTCAAAACAGGCTAATGATTTCAGTTATTGTCCTACTTTTGTGTAGGAGAAAGCATAAAGCTACTGTGATTCTGAATAAATGGTAGCAAAGGGTCTATTATCATAAGGTTAAATACTTGAGTTAGTAAAACATTAACTTGATACCATCATGGTTATAGTCTCTTCAACTTTGGTACAGCATTGCTATAATTATCATGGTACCAAGTGATCGCCTCAGCTGGAAATTTTTCCTACAGAAGAAATCTTTTGATTGGAAACCTATGCCCTGACAACATATTTAGATACCCATTGGTTGACTAACTCTGAGTTATCAATGTAGTATGGTAACATGATTATCAGACATATTCTAGTTGAGTTTTTTTTTTTTCTTTCTAGGTAAAGGTTGAGAACTAGAAAATTTGCTTTTAACATCCCAAGAAAGGATTAATAAGGGTCAGGATACAAGGTTTTACTTGGTTTAATAAAAACAATTATCAGGTACAGATAACTCTTCCATTACAGGGACAATTTAAATGTTACAATACAATAAAGAGTACAGCTTATAACTTTTGAAAACATTACAGAACTATAAATTTCTAGATGATCGTAAGCTTCAATCACTGCATTTAATAAAAAGGAAACAAAGGAAAATCCAGGCTACTCAACTGAACTGTTTAAGATCAAATAGTTTGTAAGTCACAATTTCAGGAGTAGACCTCAAGGCTACTGTTTGCTTGTCTAGTACTATTTCCTCTTTAGCACATTTCCTTCACAGGTTGTCATACTGTGTCATTTTCAATTTAGGAAACCTATTTTATTTTCTACAATGTAATAAAAAAGGTGAAAAGTTCATTTAAGTGCTACACTAGAGGCCAATATACCTTTCATCATACATGATGCACTAAGGATGGAAGTCAGTTTCTTTAAATACATTTACATGACCACATAAATCATATGTGGCTACTTAGTAAAAGTTGCATAATGCTGTTTGAGTTACTGTAGTTTCTTTCCCTGTCACATTAACACCCTTAACTTCTTAGAACTCAAAGTTTACCCCAAAAGGAAATGCCTCCCAAGGAACTTTTCAGTCTTGATGTGAAGTTATTACTATAAGAAAAGGACACCATATGTACAGTGAAAATTTATATATTCTTCACCCTCAAGTTAAAGAAAAGAAAGTTACCTTTGACGTATGTATATTGGTCAATAAATCTGCTTCTAATGCTTTCATTTCCTCTTCAGAATCTGAGAAAAAATCAAAACCATATGTTTACTATGTAATCACGCACTATATAATTATAACTTAACCTACATATTTTAAATTAATCTTAAAATTTAGTCTTAGAGGCTTAGTGTCTTTTTATGCATTTATTTTCTTTAAAAAATATATTCAGAATAAATTAATGATAATTTAATTTTAGGCTAGCAGGAGACTAGAAGAATAGAAGCACTTCTAAGAAAATAAGCCATGATTATTTGTGATTTGTAGCTGTTTAATCTCTGAATCTCAGTAACATTTTTTATTGTATGGTATAACATGGATTTCATCAAATATGCTGGAGTAGCTTATTTTTACCAGCAATAGTTCACACATATAGAAAGTATGTATATTGATATTTCATAATCAACATAATGAAAATATGAGTAGAAGAGACTTTTTCAACACAAAACCAAAGAGAATTGATGACTGATAACTTTAGGATAGAAAAGACACTGAGATTTATTTCACATGAGATGTCATTTTACAAAACACTCCTTGAAAGAATTGTTTTCTACTTTAAACAAGAATTTGAATTATGATTACTTTACAATTTTATCAAGATGAGTAAGGAAAAAGTGGATCTGTCCAAAAACATATGTAAAGTAGTGTTGAAAATGAATTTGAATTTTTTAGAATATCCTAAGTTTCCACTTATGAACATACTATGGAAAATAAAAACTTTGAAAATTCTACAAGTAATAATAACAAGTTGTAGAATACCATAGTAACATGACAGTTCATACTTAGTGGCCTTTTGTGATAAAACAAGGCATATATTAAAAGTGGCTCTATTCTTCCTTTTACGCTGCACTTTTATAAAAAGTAAGTATCACATTTAGAGAATCCATTCTTAAAACTCATATCTAGGAACTAAATTATACCAGAGAACTTTTAACTCAATTTGTTGAAGATGCAATATGCTGTTGAAAAGGAAAGACAAATTCTACTATTCATTTATGAACACTGTTCACCAAACCCCTGTAAATTTAGGCTTATCACAGCAAGCAACTTCAAGTTAATAGACACGATGTTCAATTAATTTTTTTCTACATAGTCTAATTATACCTTTAATCTCATGTGTTAGATAAAATCACAATTGTAGAAAAGTTGGTATTTTTCTCATAAAATTTTGCAAAATTCTTTTTTAATTATTAATAAAGGAAAGCTTTGTATAAATTAATTTTATGTTCTAATAGGTCTTACTTTTATGCTTAAAAATCATGAGTTTGAATTGAACATCAATGTTACATATGAGGTATCAAAACTATAAAATCAGGTTAAATGATTTTAATGTATTTTTCTCCTTTTCACTTTAATGTGATTATTTAATTATTTTTCAGGCATTAGCTGAAGCATATTGTAATTATTATAATCTTTCATGTTACTTCTTTAAATTTAAAACTTATTCTCAAGATATGTTATTTATAAATATTTGATAATATATGCCTTCTGCTTAACTGTCATATGTAAAACACTCTAAAACTAAAATATTTCCATTAACATTAGAATACCAATTTTCCAATTATGTTTTGCATCAACTTAAATGACATGCAATTAAAAGCAATTATATGAATAGCATGCTGTATCATATAAATATACCATAAAATATTTTTTTATAAAGAACTTGGAGGATTTTATATTTTCTAGAAATATTTTTTTTGCAAATAATGCTCTATTTATTCATCAAATTTTATTTTGTTTTAGCCTAACACAGTGACTTTTTAAAAAAATTAATTGAAGTCAATTACAAAGATAAGTGAGGGGAAGACACCACTTTCCAGGAGAATTTCTGATGATCAGAATAAAGCATTTTGAATGGAATGAGTTTTAATGATGAGCTTGCACATCGACAGTCACTTTCCCTGTACTTCTCATTATATAATGCCCAACCTAATTCAAAGTTTTGTTCATTTGTTTGTTTTTCTCTCATCATTGTATGACAGAGGGGGCATGCAGTGTTACCTTAAATCTTTTTTTATTGCTTTGCAGATTTTAAAAAAGGAAAAATAAATCTCTTTTCTTATACACAGAAAGACAGAATAAGATGATATTCACAGTTTCTATCAACGAAAAGGCAAATCCTGAATAAAGAGGAAAAACTCTTCTCCCTGGATACATTAACATAAGTAGCAACACATTGCAAAGAAATCACTGAAGGGTTTTGTGAAATGCTGTTCGGCTTACCTGAGCACAGACTCCAGGAGCTGCAAGCCAGGAGTATCATGCACACCAGGTGGATTTTCATGCTTGCCATCATCTCTCTCAGCCTTCTCTCAAGCCAAGTCCACAGAAGTCAGACACTGAAAGGCTTTCTGTAGAGCTTTCTCTAGCCTTCAGCTGACTCTGAGAGTGAGAGAACTATAAGAGATGCTCTGGCCATTCCCTATATATATTTAAGCAGGAGGATGATGTCATGACTGTACAGGGATTAGGGGTGTTCCTGTCCTCATTTCTATCCCTCTCTTTCTCCCCCCACTTCCTCCTCCCTTTTTCCTTTGTCCCTCATCTCTTCCCCACTTCTGAACCTTGACTGTAAGTGACGATATTCCCTAATTGCTGCTATTGCTCCGGATTTCTGACGCACAGAAGGAGTCATCCAAAAGCACTGCCATATACAGCATCCTGGAAAATAACCCCAGCACCCCTTCTCCCACCCCCTCCCCATTTTCTTTCATGTTCCCACTCCAGGAATTTGTCATTCTGATTTTGTGAAACATAAAGTCTATTATTTCTAGTATTTAAGTAATGTGTCCAGGATGAATGCAGGAAATCAAGGGTTTCTTTGGTTTGGAAGTTCCTAAAAGAATTAAGAGTATTTTTTTGTATAGCCTAAACTTCTGAGCAAATGTTTTGTGGTTTCAAAATGAATATAAGTTTTAGATAGTACAGGCTAAAAGAAAAAGGAAGGTCATCAGAGAATCAATTATAATATAGAGATTAAGTCAAAGAGTTTAGAGAAAAGGAAGAAAATCAGTAGAGAAGAAAGAATAGTGGCTCCAAGGAATAGAAATGATTTCCTGTTAAACTGTAAAGTTTTTATTACAAGTAACTGAGATAATGGATGAATTATATATGTTGACTTGTGGTTCAATGTTGTAGAAAACCAATTTCATGTTTATAAAATGAAGCTATAAATTGTTCATGTGTTAGAAGGTGGAAATGTGTATCACTATTATTAATATTTTTTTTCTGATTCTTTATTCTTTTGGTGTTTGCATTGATCAGCTAATTTTGGATTCATTCCTTCTTCTATTTCTCATTCTTTTAATATTCCTTTTCTTATTATATTTCACCATGGCATCAAATTTATTTCCCTGATGTAGTCTTCCTTTTACCCCCTCCCCAAAAAGGATACTGTACTTTCAGAAAGAAGAAAATTCTATATATCCACCCTCCTCCACCCAGAGTCACATTTCTAAGACAGAATCTTCATGTATTTGGTGAACTTAAATGATACTTATTCCCTTCTCTGGGTTATCAAAAGAAAATTGTTCAAATTGTCTTTTGAAATGAAGCTTTCTCCTTGCATTAGATATTTCTATCACTGAAAGGCAAATCCTAAATAATGAGGATCCATGAAATGAGTTGAACAAACACTGCTATTTGGGATGTGAATAAAGTTAAAAGTGCCTGATTTTTTTGATTTTTAAACAATAATGCAGATATAATTGAGAGGAAGATATGGATTGATTCCCATAGAGTTGACTTATATTGTACAATCTATATTATGAGATTAACTGCTTCATTTTTATATTAAACCTTAGAAAAGGAATTAATACCAAACATCTAATGATTATTTCAAATAGCAAGGAATCATTCCTAAAATTTAATGACCTGAAATTTAACAATAGCTAGTGTTTTTATTACTTTCTATATTTTAACTTGTATAAAACACATATTGAAAACTACTGCCCTGGAGGGAGTTTTCTATAAAGAATAATTAACTGGAAAAGAAACATAAAACCTATGTCTAGATTTTTTTCTTTCCTACCATTAGGGGGCACAGTGGAAGTTTAAAAGCCTTTTTATTTTCACTTGTTCTGATCACTGTGTTTACTATTCCCTTATTATATAAAGCATCTTTTTGATAGAATCCTTAAAGCCACTTTGATGAAGAAATCCATAAATTATATACTTTGCATAGTATTTAAATTAGTTCTCCCTGCTTTTGAATTGCAAATGCAAAGAATAATTTTTTAAAATGTGTGATAACAGTCTAATAGTAAAAAGGAAGTGTGATTCCTATTTTCCTAAAGTGATTCTTCACTAAGTGAAGCTCAGGGAAATGCTGACAAAATTATTTCTAATTAATTAGGAAACAAAAGAGAAGGAATGATGGAAATTCATTTTATGTACACAACATGACTATTAGTTGTTAATGTGAGAAATTTTTTTTTACGTATATGACAAATCCGAAAGAATTGGAGAATATATATTAACTAATAACAAATAATTAAAAACTAAATAGATTTTATATGCAATTTTACTTTGGGGGGAAAAAGATACCTAATTTTTTCTGTTACAGTTATGATGTACATAAACAATATCTGACCTCTAATAGGTATTTTTAAAATAGGCCACCCTTTTCCTTTTTAGCCCTAGTATCTTCAAGCTACAGAACAACCAATTAGACATTTTCTTTTCTTTCTTTCTTTCTTTTTATTTTTTATTTTTTTTAGGAAAGGAGATTAAGTGTGGATATTGATATTTAAAAAGTATCCTAAAACTGATGAATTCAGGACTTTAGGCATCTTTCTGTAGAGATGATTGGACTATTTTTATTCTGAACACTTTTCACCTGAAATTCTTCTAATTTTTATTAAGTTTTTAAAGTAATAATAAAGAATGTTAGCACTGTCATTTAAAGATCTTCCTGTGTTTATCTTCCAGTGTGAGGTCATTAGTTTCAAGAGGATGCAACTTATCTGGGTACTTGTCGATTTCAAGATTTCTACAGTATGTGGGTTTCTAAGTTTCTACTGTGATTTGTCAGATATTTATTAAATACTGGCTAAAAAAAATCAATGGAGATCCCTGAAGAATTGACAAATTAGAAGGTGTGATCTATAAGCTTATTTAATTTGGAGATGGGGAAGCTCCAGAATTGCTTGATGAATGGCACTCCTTCCATTCTATGTGATCCTTCCACCATCTTTGGAGATTTACTCACCTCATTAGAGCTCCCTGGTCCCTCTTACACACACCTAAATTATCTATGGCTTGTCCTGTGGCATTTCTACTATGTGGAATCTGTGGTCTATCTCCCTTTGACCATTCTGTCTATCCCTCTGTGATGTTATCTCTTATTTTCAAAAGACTATCTTCATCAGGAGCAGTGGTGCACACCTATAATCCCAGCTACTCAGGATGAGGATTGAGGCAAGAGGATTACAAATTGGAGGCCAGTCTGGGCAATTTAGCAAGATCTTGAACCAAAATAGAAATACAAAGGCTGGGGTTGAAGCTCAGCGGTAGAGCACCCCTGAGTTGAATCCCCAGCATATCAAAAAGTAAAGCTGATATATTTTATGTTCTATTCAAAACAAACCTTTGTGTTAAAATCCTGAAAATATTTTTATCCATTTCTACTTTACCTAGTTTCTGCTAAATGCTCATCAGTAGTTTGCTCATACTGTTTATGGTGAACCATTGAAAGAAAGGGACCCACTGTATTTCTTCCAAGGTTTACACTCCATAAATGCTCAAAACATACTACTAAACTGAATTAAAATGTTAATTATTTTAGATATCTGATGGGTCATGTTTCAGTTTTTATCATTTCTTTCATCTATATCTCTCAGAACTCCTGTGTTATCATTAATCTTCTTATTTTACACAAGCCTTTTGAGTTATCCAGTTTCTCAGCTTTTTCTTGGTCACTCTTTCCCTCCCTGATTTGAAAAATCAACTCTAAAACATCATTTGGGATCATGTGCATTTATCAGTAGAATGTTTAGGATAAATTATGGGTTTACTCTATTTCTCTAAGTGAATCCCTGGTTTGAAGCTACAATTCTGATTCATCTGAACAAACAAGGATGTCAAACTCTTTGTAAACCAAATTGATTTTTCTCTTCAATTAAAGACCATTTTCTAGATATACAGATAGATATGTGCATGCACACACCCACACCCACACATACTATATTATACACTAAATGTGTATAATTCAGACCTTGGAGACTTAGGTAAATGGAAACCAAATGTTCAATTTCCCAGTCTAAGTATAACCACAGTTTATCTATAATCTCTACAAATTCCCAGCTTGTTTCCTTTTGGTTCTTCCTGTCTCTGTTCTTGCATCCTCCTAGACAATTAACTTGTAAAAATTGATAGTGGATTTCTGTATTCAATGAATATTTTGCAACTTAAATTCTAATTGCAATACATTCCCTGCTTGGGACTCACATGTTAATGAATCACTATATTTAATTAAGGATATTCCATATGGCCATATTGCTTATTTCACCCATAACTGTGTTTCACATATCTTGGAAAATAAAGACACCCACAAACTCAACACCCACTACCTATGGATAATGCTCAGGTAATCATTCTTGGCTTCCTTTCCGCATAAGACTAAAATAAAAGCATCACAGGGGAAAAAAAATGTTCCTGACAATCATCTCCTTTTATGTTTTTAGGTTTAAAAATTAGTGTAATTATCCAAACTAAGAAATGAGATGAGATTTTTTTGAAAGAAAATCATTTCTCTAACTTCCCCATTTTTAAAATTTGTTATAATGTCTAAGAAGATTTCTGTTTTACCTGCACTGCTCCAAACTAAACAGATGTACTTAAGCTACCATTTAGCAATAGTAGATTCAATGAAATGTGACATTTTATGTTTGTGGGGTTTTTTGTTTCATTTTCATTTTATGTAGTTTGCAGTGTTAGGGATCAAGTCCAGGGGCTTGGGCAAACTGGATAAGCATTTTACCACTAAGCTTAAACTCCAGTCTTCAGTGAAGCACTTTTTGTTAAGATCATATTAAATGTTGAATTTACAACATGGTGATTTTATATTATATTTCTTTATTCTATTTTTTTTAATTGATGGTCATTTCTCAGTGATCTTGATGAGTTCAATGAGTTTAAAACCTATTGTTGTTATTGTTGTCCTCATAATACCCCAATTTGAGACTCTGATGACCCAAAGTGTGTATTTAATTCCATCCTTGGGGGCTCTACTTGGAATGTCATGGGATTAACTTACTGTCCACAGTGAAACTTTTGATTTATCTAAATAAGTTTCTAAAAATACCCTCCCTCCTCTAGATCAATTATTGTAACCAGGATTTACTAAGTGGCAAATATCACAATACTGGGATCCAGTTACAGTTGTTTTTTTTCTCTTCCCCCCCCAGCCCCTGCTACCACTTTCAAGCTATCAAGAACCTGTGGAGGTGCAAATCTGCTATGAAAATATATTCCAAATCCAACTGTGTTCTCATACTTGACTTTCATCACCCAGCTTCATGTTACCAGCA